TATATATATATATATATATATATATATATATATATATATATATATATATATAGAACAAGTTGTGATTAACACATGTATTTGCTACTGAATGCTCAAATGTCAATCATATAGTGGTTGTATTTTTCGATGTTTTGATATTGATATTTATTAAAAATAAGGTATTGTCTAATTATGATGTTTATATATTATGTTATGTGTTCCAATTAAACACAATAATAACCTTAGAACATAATATTCTAATATGTCTTTGGTCAAATATTATTTTGGGTCTGGGTTAGAATGTAATATATTAATAACTAGTATATGTAGAGACTAATATGGAGGTAAGGAATCCATACATGGATACAAGATAAGGATCTTGTGTATCAGTATGTGAATACTATAATAAATGTCATAAGTGTTTCACATATTGTCATTGTATATGTAGTCATTTGATTTGAAACATATAGTTATATTGCTTTGTGAGAATGACATACTTTGACACTGGTTTCAATCATTCCGCAATTGGATGACATATTGGTAGTTGGATATATATATATATATATATATATGCCATGTATTTATAGTAGTAGTATGTTTTGAGATATGATTTGTACCTCTTGTATGATAGAAGTGATGTTTCCAGTCCCCATTGGTTGAATGGTACTAAGGAAACCCATACATGTCCAAAGACCTGCAAGCAGTAATGTTCGGGTAGCCGTAGGTTAGGTGTGATGGTAACAATCTTTCAACCCGACCTGAGGAATTACCAACAACAAAAGAACCAACAACAATGGAAGAATCCCTTACCCACTTCCCTTAGCCAAACTCCATATGTGTTATCGATGTATTATTGTTAGTACATTCCAGAATCAAGAAACTAAAGATCGTACATAACAGAGATGACACAATCATGCTCCATGGTCAATGAACATCGAGGACAAAGGATACAACATGTACACTTATAATGATCACGAGTTTTTGTTCATTAGTTGAATCACAAAAATTTATCATTTGGATAATGTTGACATATTGTCAGATACCATTATCTGTTTACAATTATTGCCAACATGATAAAGTCTTAATGCGTCACACATATAAACGTAATCGAATCAGGAGACCGAATAATTAAAATGTTTAATTATTAATACCCCGTTTATAATTTAATGAGATTAAATGAAACAAGATATAAAAATGGAGGGTGAAAGCAACGGTTGAAACTTTCACCTGTAATATTTTTGTAATATAAATGTTTTAGTATTTTGTATGCAAGTTAAATAGAAGAATATACAAAAAAATATTTTTTAATTTATAAAAACAACATGTATTCTGACGAAATTTCTATCGAGATCCAACAAAAAGGCTCATTAGTAATCCGTTGAAAAATGCCATAGATAATCCATCGGAAACGTGCCTTGGTCATTTGTCAATAATCCATTGTCCATTATCTAATTGGACACCCGGTTTACGATAACGTATGTCTGTTGGTAATCCATAAAAACTTTTGCCCGTCAGTATATGTCCATTGGTAATCCGTCAGTTTACGTTGATATATATTACCAGTTGACCCAACATTTTATTCTAGTAAAGTATTATCATGATTTGTCAACATATTACCAATGGATATTTTGTTGCTAAATTTTTTGAAGCCATCGTCGGTAGGTTTTTCCGACCAAACAGTTTCCAACAGATTGTGTCCGTTGACTATATAGCTCTTCTTGACAGATTACCAACATTACATGTCGTAGATAATATCGTGCTTTTTAGTTTGAGGAACATATGTACATCAAATGTATTAGCTACTTTAATTGCAATGGTAATATAACATTAAGTTTCTTTGTAATTTTCATAAAACCACAATGAATGATTTCAATTATTTTGAATTTTAAAATTTGATTTAAGACGAACACTTAGAAAAAAATTAGATTGGGTGTCGATTAAAAAGTTACATCACATGTCGTAATACTTATTTCAAAAGCTGGTTAGCCTCGTAAACTTGTTTCCCACGTAACAATAACATTATATGTTATTTAGATGTCATTCATGATTTTAATTTATAATAATTAAACCACTTCAAAAAAATAAATACCAAGTTCATGTGTTGGCTTTTAAGTTTATCAAACTAAAAGTAAAAGACACTCCAAACCCATTACACACACACCCACCCACCCACTTATTTATAAATACACCATGCTTTCTTTCTAATTAAAGAAACCCCCTTTAAACACTTTAAAAACCTCTCTAAACCATCTATTTCTTTTCTCAAATAAATCATAAATTTCTGTATCAACTTATCCATTTATCTTTTCTATTAAAACAAGGTTTATATTGATTTTTATGTTTTAATTTTGTTGATCAATAACAATATCCTTCTACTTGATGTCTTATTACTTGTGACATGCATTTCAGGTGTTCATTGGGACTTGTATCAATGCCGTGTATCGGTGTGCAATTGCAAATTGATGACCACCATGTAACTTTCGTTGCTTTTTTCCCCCGTTTTATTTGTTAACTTATCGTTAAAAAAATCTGAATGCAATGGTTGTAAGCTTGGTCATATACGTACGAACAACCAGTTTGCATGTACTATCTTATAATTATAAAAATTTCAGGTGATGATTGATAACGGGATACTGCAAGTTACATTATCGAAACCTGAGGGCATTGTGACCGGTATACGTTATAATGGGCTTGATAATGTGCTCGAGGGTCTTAACAATGAAAGTGACCGAGGGTTAGTTACATTATAGATCAAACACATTCTCTTTTAGTGGATGGATGAGATAAATTTTCATCTTGAATTTACGTATCTTCTTGAGAAAATGCAGGTATTGGGATGTCGTTTGGAGTGCTTTAGATGGCTCGGGAAGAACAGGAGTATTTGAAGTGTACACTCTCAACATTCTCATATACACTATCTTTTTTCTTCTTCTAAGATCGAATTATAAATCAAATCTCGTGACTTGAAATTGAAAGATAACAATAAATATAATAGAAACATCAAAATCAATTTTACTTTTATGTATTTTCTAATATATTACTATGTCTATCTTTACTTAGAGTTGGAGACTATTTACTTACTACTTAATGAACTTAATGGATTAGGTGACTTATTCGATTAGCCGTACATGAGTGTTTTCTTTAAGGCTTAATCGTTAAGCCATTAAGCCAAAAATGACTATATGAAATAAATCAGGACCCTCATTTATCTTTATTAAGCTACCTTAAACAAATTAATACCAAAAATGCTCCAAAAGATATCTAACCCTCTCTCTTTACCTTTTTCAAACCCATTAATCTCCCTTTCTTTAGACATATACATTTATTTCCTTGGACAGGATCAAAGCCACAAGTTTCAAGGTGATTGTGGAAAGTGAGGAAGTAGTTGAGGTTTCCTTTTCAAGGCAATGGGATCCTTCCCTTAAAGGAAAGTTTGTTCCTTTAAACATAGACAAGAGGTTGCTTTGTTAATTTGTTGTCTTAATTTCTTTCTTTATTTATTTAATTTTATACATATATATATATATATATATATATATGAACGATCAAATGAAAACCGTCCTCATTTATGTAAACCAATCTCATCCATTTATTTTCTTGATCAATGTTCAAGATTAGTTTAGGTTATATTAGGAAATTAAAAAAATAAAAAAAATAAAAATTTATTTTATAATCCCTATATTTGTGCAAAATGGTAACTTTGGTATTGGTAATACTAAAGACAACCATATCATATATATCGTAATATTAATAAAACAAAATCATTTGTAAAATAATATATTAATTTTATGTTCAAATATTATAAATAAAATTACATCCATATTAAAATAGATCAACAATAAAAATAAAATACAAAATAATTAATTTAACATAATGAAACCTTTTGAATAATAATAATAATAAATTTACTACCACATTTCATGAACGAAATGGTTTCACAGTTTCATCAAATGAAATGGTTTCATTGTTCACTAATTACACAAAATTTTCTTAGAAACCATGAAATGGTTTCACTTTCTTCAATCACCCATTACATCGGCTAACATGGCAACATGGTTTGATGAGTCATTTGTCATTTCACGTTATTGATAATGAAATGGTTTTGTTGTTCACTAATTACACAAAATTTTCTTCATGGTTTCAGTTTCTTCAATCACCGATTACATCGACCAGCATGATTTGATGAGTCATTTGTCATTTCACGCTATTGATAATGAAATTTTGCTTCACTTTCACTAATTACACAAAATTTTCTTAGAAACCATGAAATGTTTTCACTTTCTTCAATCACCCATTACATCGGCCAGCATGGTTTGATGAGTCATTGTCATTTCATGCTATTGATAATGAAATTACAACACCAATATTATCATGCACCCTATTCATCATGTACCCATTTCATGCACCACCCATTTCATCATGCACCAATTTCATAATCATTTTCGCTTACTCCATACACCAATTTCACCATGTACGAAACCGGTTTCATGTATATTTTTTTTATTCTATTACTGATTTCATGGATTTATTAATCTAATATCTTCGATTTTCATGAATCTTGGCAATAATAAACCGAGACACAATATAAATAAATCCAATTTTTAATTATAATCTAATTAAATATTTAAATGTTACAATTTATAAAATTTCTTTTATTATGTTACCTTAATTAAGATTTATTAATAACTTCCATATTTAATAGAAAACAATGTAAATGACCAATATACCCTTAATAATTAAATTTAATTAGAAAAAAAATGGAATTTTCCTATTGATCGAAATTAGTTTACACGGTTTCTAAGAATTGCACGGTTCTCATTTGAACGTGCATATATATATATATATATATATATATATATATATAGAGAGAGAGAGAGAGAGGTGAGTTATTATGCAACCTTTTACATTTGTACAGTCAATACAACTCAATCTCAACCATCCATTTAATTTGATAAATATGTGATTTCATAATATAAAATATTGATCATAATTAATGAACTCTAGTCATCTTCTATAAATATTCAAATCATAATAAATGAACTCTCATTATTTTTATAAATATCTCAATTGATTGGGTTGCATTGGTTGTACAAATGAACATGGTTGCATTTGAAATATACCATATATATATATATATATATATCATATATGTGTGTGTATTTCTAATACAAATTAATTCTCAAAAATATATTTTGGTGATTTCGAAGGTTCATTTTGCTTCGTGGTTGCTCTGGTTTCTATACTTACGCCATTTACGAACATTTGGGTTCACAAGAATGGCAACCCTTCAGTCTTGGTGAAACACGAGTTGCATTCAAGCTCAGAAAAGACAAGTAAGTAAACAACACCCGTTTCTGTAATCATATTTGGATCTAATTAACCACCTCAATCTGTCGCCTTTAATGGCTGTTGGTTTCGTGAGACCTTAAATAATTCTTTCCATTAATTAATGTTGTTTTAGGTTTCACTACATGGCGGTGGCAGACGATAGGAGAAGATACATGCCATTGCCGGATGACCGGTCGCCAGGAAGAGGACAACCCCTCGCGTATCCAGAAGCCGTGGTACTCGTCAATCCAGTCGAACCCGACTTCAAAGGAGAGGTACATACGAATTTACAAGAATTAATTAAAGGGTCCATCATATCTTTTCAGAAATATATATAATTCATTAAGGTTGTACTAAATTCTGTATCTACTGTTTGTTTGTGCATAAAGGTGGATGACAAGTACCAGTATACCTGCGAGAATCGAAACCTAATGGTTCATGGCTGGATATCAAATGACCCTCCCTTAGGGTTTTGGCAGATCACTCCTAGTGACGAATTTCGAACCGGTGGACCCTTGAAACAAAACCTTTGTTCGCATGTCGGCCCTACTTGTCTAGCCGTAAGATTTTATATATAGGACACACCCTTTTTTAATTACACAGTACTCCCTGTCCCTGATGAGCGGAACGTAAAATTCAAAAGTTCTTGTATCTGATAGGTTTTTGTTGGTGCTCACTATGCCGGAGATGATCTAGTCCCAAAATTTGGTGAGGGGGAGCCATGGAAGAAGGTGTTTGGACCAGTTTTTATCTATCTCAACTCACTCATGGATGGATCAGACCCTCTTACGCTTTGGGAAGATGCAAAAAGACAGGTACCAAATCAATAATTATTAATTAAATATATATTCCATGTTAGATTTAGGGTCTAGGGTTTATACGGTTCATGTTGTTTCATTTTTCATTTCAAATCAGATGACGGTTGAGGTGAAGAGTTGGCCTTATAGTTTTCCGGCATCTGAAGATTTTCCCAAATCAAATGAACGAGGCAATGTTTATGGGAAACTACTCGTTCGCGATAGGTAATCACCGTATGCTAAAGCCAAGATTAAATTGGTTATTTGGTTCATTTGAAAGAGAGTTTTCTGAAATTTATTCGTTTGTAGATTCGTTAATGACAACGACATGCCAATAAATGGTGCGTATATCGGGTTAGCTCCACCGGGCGAAATCGGATCGTGGCAAAAAGAATGCAAGGTGATCCTTAATTTTATAGTTATGGTAACATACTTGAAAAGCTCGTATTGTTAGCTCCAATTATTTTTACGCATTCTGATAGGGTACTTAGTTTAATGGATTTAAGCTTACAGCTACGACCAACGTTAACCCAGCCGATATTCTATCTAGATGCGTTACATAAATTGTTAGGGTGAAGTTATACAACCTGACAAATTTTATCGACGAAGTCGAATGAACAATGAGGTATAAAAAATCGATCATCTTGCTAACCTTTTTTAGATTACTTTTGAAAAATGTCTTTATTAACCTTTCATATGCATACATGTGTAGAGTAAAACGTTAAATAAATGAAAAGCAGGAAAACAACGAAAAACAAATGAAAAAGTATATCAACAGGGATGTCATTAATTTTAACGAGAAAAATATGATTGTTATTTTGATGTAATTTATTTAGCTTGAATTTTGTTTATTTTTCGAATAAAAGATAGGGGGTTGGAGGGTTTTTTTAAATTAAAAAGAGATTGTTGTAACCACCCGTTTAATCATGTCCATCGGGTCATCTCATCTAAGGATAATGTGTTTTCTAGGTTTTCATTTTATTTAAGATTTTCTCCTGAACCTTCCTCTACGTACATATATGAATTGTTTCATCTTGCTAACCTTTAATGAAATTATTTCATATAATATTTTTCTTGCTAAAGTTGTTTCATATATGGTTATTTCTATGTTTTAATGAAATTGTTTCATGTATTTCTCTAAAATTAATATAATGAAGATCCATAATTAACACCCTCACAGTAAAAATAACTACTCGACCCTCCCATAATTACAAAAAAATGAAAAAAACTGAAAAATTATAATTAATTGGTTGAACGAGGTTTGTACGTTTTGTACAAATACGTAGTTTGCAAAGTAAACCTCCCTTATATATAATACATATTTCAACCTTGTCATATAAAAAGGTTAATCTGACGATTTACTTCTCATGTCATACTAGATTGTCCAATTTCATGGATAAAATTTGTTAGATCACCTTAATTCGTCCTAACAACTTATTGTAATGTTTTCAGATAGAACACGTAATATTCTATTAGAACATATGTACATCCTAGAAAATTCATTTTATTGTAGCGTTTCTTTCCTTATATATTGTGATTAAACAAGTTTTGTGGTGTAGGATTACCAATTTTGGACGGAAACATATGAGAACGGAGATTTTTGCATTAACAATATAAGAACGGGCGTCTACAACCTATACGCTTGGGTCCCCGGATTTCTTGGTGACTACCGAAATGATGTTACTATAACCATCACCCCAGGTAAATCGAGTATGTATAAAAGCTTAAATTTTCCATTTCTGACCTCTATAGTTAATAGAACTATTATTTGAATCTGATAATCTTTTTCCAACTTTGGAAAATACTAGGTTGTCAAATTAACGTAGGTACTCTCGTCTACGAGCCTCCAAGAAGTGGTCCTACATTGTGGGACATCGGGATCCCAGATCGATCCGCTGCAGAATTCCATGTTCCGGATCCTAACCCGCAATACGTGAACAAGCTTTTTCTCGATCAACCTCATAAGTTCGTTTTTGTAAAGCAATTCTATTAGATACATTTTCATGAAATTAATTAGATACGTTTGAACGGGGTACTTATGCCCCCACCATGTCACACGGTACAATCATGTACGTTTAAAAATGGTTGTATCATAATAAACTACACAATACACCCATATTATATGACGTTTTTATAAGGTAACACCCCTTTTCAAAATAAAAATACATCATACATCAAGAGTTGTACATATTCTAATATTTCTCTAATTAAGAATTTATTTGATTTTGTTGGTTTCTTTTAGCAATTTTAGGCAATATGGATTGTGGGAAAGATACGGGGAGTTGTACCCTGAAGGAGACTTGGTGTTCACGATTGGAGATAGTGATTATAGTAAAGATTGGTTTTATGCTCAAATTCCAAGGTACAACTCTTAAAAATGAATATACATATGATTTCACATGTATAAGTTTATGGATTTAAGTAAAATCCTATTTTAAGTTATATATCTACACTACACTAATATATCAATTATTTTGGTACATTATCATAAACTAAGGACGATAACTTGTTAATAATGTGTTTAGGAGAAAAGCAGATAACTCATATGAAGGAACAACGTGGCAGATCAAGTTTAAGCTAGAGGACGTCCAACAAACTGCTATTTATAAGCTACGAATAGCGTTGGCCGGTGCATCTTTAGCCGAACTACAGGTATTATATAAGCATGAACTATCTATCGATATGCTAAAATACAATGAAAATTCGCTTAAAACCTATGTAATTGGTGTATGAAAAGCTTGTAGGGTTTCTTTCTCTCAGTTTTTATCCATTATAATTGTCGATATGCGTTCTTTTACAGGTTCGGGTAAATGATAGAAATAAACCTCGTCCTTTGTTTACAACGGGACTGATAGGACGAGATAATGCAGTTGCAAGGCATGGGATTCACGGGCTATATTGGTTGTATAGTGTGGATGTTTCGGGTTCTTTACTCTTAGAAGGAGAGAACACATTTTATTTCACACAACCGCGGGCCCAAAGTCCTTTTCAATCCATCATGTATGATTATATTCGACTAGAAGGTCCAAGCTCGAATTCGAAAAGTATAGTTTGAAGTGTTTATGATATATATAATAGTAATATATTCTTTTAGAATGAATTGGTGATGGTATATATATATATGAATAATTAAATAAAATGGTTGTATTGTTAAATGAGAGATAGTATAGGAGATAGGAGACATGATATCCAAACAGTAACAAACTTTTTTCATCCTTTTCTCGAATGATCCTTACACTCATTCGAGTGTATAATGGGTGTGATTGCTTTTTCTCATGTATAAAATTCTTTTATTTTAAATATTTAATCCATCTTCATCTCAAACACTTTCTTTAAGCAATGTCTACATAGAATTTGAAATTAAAAGACTTCCAATAACATTTATATATTGTTTATTGTTTATTGTTGTAAGAGCATATCTGATGCATATCTTCATCCGTCATACATATATTTTATCTCAAATTGAGAACTAATTCTAAATAGGGTCCTTTCTAAATATCACAAGACTATTGTAACGCCCCAAATTTTGGTTACTACATTTTATTTTGAGTTCATCTATAAATGTAGTTCTTTAGTGCTTAAGTTAACCTTGTTTGAATGTTTTTGGGCATTTTAATGTTGGCGCTTCAAAACTCAAGGAAAACAACTGATAATGATGGAAAAGTGGGCCAAACTAGTTTTAGAGCTAGTTTGTTTGCTAGTTTAACTAGCAGTGAAATTAGCGAACACCATTGTTTGATTTCATTCAATGTGCTCGGGCTAGTTTCAGAGCTAGTTTATTTGCTAGTTTAACTAGTGGTGAAACTAGCAAATATCACTGTTTGATTTTTTCAAAGTGCTCGGGCTAGTTTGTTCGTTATTTTATCTGGCAGTGAAACTAGCCAACACCATTGGCCAATTTTTTAAGAGCCGATTTTTGGGTTTTCGCTCTCATTTTCTTATCTTACTCTTTTCTCTCCCAAATTTCTTCCTTCCCTCTTCATTGAATACATTTTTGGAGTATTTAATCCTCATTTCCAACCAACCTAAGGGCATTTAAACCTCATCTAGGTTAAGGATTCAAGTCTGGTCTTCAAGATCCAAGTGTGTTCATCTCCTTCCCCAAGCATTCTTGATTTTCTAGATTTTCATCAAAACCTAGTATTGTGAGTTCATATTTTACTTTTATAAAACCATATACATGTTAAAATGATGTATTTTACTTTCTTTAAGTTTCCATTTTAAGTATTTTGCATTTGGTTGATTTTGAAACCATGTAGGTCAAAGTTGGGGATTTTGTATATTTTAAAGAAACAAGTGTGGGGAATTGTTTTAAATCCTTGAAAAATGATTATATCAAAGTCTTGATGAATTTGGAACTCAAACCTGTAATGTTCATACGTTTACGCCTTGTTGATAAAAATGAGATTTTAACCACTTGATAGGATTTTGTAAACAAGAGTATCTATAAATGGTTAAGTTTGATATATATATATATATATATATATAGAGAGAGAGAGGGTGGTTCAAATACTAACCCATTTTTTGTGTTAACTCTACTAACCAACATCAACCAATCACATTCTTTCTTTACTTTATGTTCAAATGTAACTTATAAATTGACCTTTATGTAACTCCCTAATAATTATTTGGTCATTTTGTAATTTGACATTTATGTAACTCCCTAATAATTATTTGGAAGTTACAAATCTTTTAAGATCCCTCTAATTGATCATGAGGTAATTCCGATGTTCACGGTGTTCATATCCATGAACATTCACCGTGTTCATATAAATGTTCACCGTGTTCATGCGATATTTTTACAAAAGTACCATCTGAACCGTTATTCATAGGCATCTCAATTAATATATTAATTAAATGATTATTTTTATAGTCTCATTTAATAAGGACCGTTTGATGAGAAAATGAACGATCAAGATCGGGTTAACATAGTTTGCACAATAGTTTTGGTTAGTATTTGAACCAGCCCCTATATAGATAGTTATATATATATATATATATATATATAGGCATGTTCAAATGAAAACCGTGCATTTTTAAAAAACCGTGTAAACTAATTTCGACCAACAGGAAAATTCTATTTTTTCTAATTAAATTTAATCAATAAGGGTATTTCGGTCATTTACAATATTTTCAATTAAATATGGAAATTATTAATAAATCTTAATTAAGGAAACGTAATAAAGGAAATTTTATAATGGTAACATTTAAATATTTAATTACATTATAATTTTAAAAATTTGAACTAAATATACTGTGATGCGATTGAATCTGCTGGTGAATCTTGAAGATTGTAAGACATAATGTAATGAATTCATCAAATCATGATTGAAAAAA